CATCTGCCTTTGTTTCAGATAAGGATGCCTCCACTCTTCAGCATATCAAAAGATACTTTTCCCACGTCATTGCCACCCTCTTCGTGTCACAAGTGCCTTTATCAGTTGCGGTGTCGCACTGCTTAGCTTTATGGCCGCCGCACCTCTTAACTTCCTGCCTCCTCTACAGATTTTTGAGGCGCCCCTTTCCATAGCTTTAGGGTGCAGCTGCCCCCCTTGCCCCCCTGCTTCCGCCGCCACTGGTTGGCCGTGGCTTGGTGCACTTCAGCACAAGTGGTAAATGCCCCAAAGGGTGTTTTCGCGATAGCTCAAAACACCCAGGCAATAGAGAGCTGCAACTTGGCATACCTGACCTTTGATGCACGCTGGATCTTGTGACACCAACCGCACTTTCAAGTCAGGTCAGGTCACTGACCTATGACGTCATAAATGAACCTCTGCACGATCCTCAGATGTCGCAACCTTGCAACGCTCTCAGTGCCAGAGTAACTTTCACAGGGAGGTGAGACTTGCAGGATTTATTGTCCTTTAGAGGTCTTACAACTTTTATATCTCAGATTTTTCCTAAATGTCACATAAAGTCAGGTTGATCACGTGACCTCACCTATTAGTCAATGGGGAAATATGAAAACTGTTATTTTGGCGCCAGGAATGATATTCAATTGTCTCAAGTACATGGAATCGTTACTTCATACATTCTTTGCAAGATCTGATGCTGCATTTTTGCATTGTTGACCTTGCATGACGTCATTTATGACGTCACTAGGGTCATAGGAGTTTTTCGTTAATAACTCCCGATCAAATTGAGCTAGAGAGTCGACAAGGTCACCAATGGATTCCGAAAGACTTGCCGAATCGAATGATATGCGATATGACCTCCTTCGACCAACTTCGTGATTTGAAGACCTCTGACCTGACCTTGACTCGACACCTTACGGTCAACACCTTACGGTGGCCTCACATGAACAAAAAGTATACCATTCGACGCGCCTGAGCAAGGCGAACACGACAATGTCAAAATTGTGGTTCTGCGGCCATTTTTTGCGAAGTTATTCACCAAAAACCAAACCCGCTGCTTGGGTCACGTTATGAAATGGGGCGTTGCCGGTCGAGATTTACGCTGTTTCATGATATGTATAAATTGGTACGGCATAATCGTTTGAATAAAAAGTTGGTTTGGAAGCAATTTTCTACGGAGGTACACACCATTTAAATGTCCTACCCAGCTCATATCGTCATAAATTTCGACCTACCCTCAAAAGTATTCATGCGTTATTCGAGCGGCAATTAGGCAAATTGCAAGCTCGCCACAGAGCACAAATCCTAAAAGAGATAGTCCTTATTTAAAACATATGCTCATTGCATATTCAAGAAGGTTGCTCCTAAATATTGTGGTTCTAGCTTCAAAAACATGGATGTTATGAATGCCGATAGGTTTCGCGAGGCTACACCGGCCGGATCGCCCACTGTGCGGCGGCGCGGCCGCCCGGGCCGCCCGCTGCGCCGCGGCACCCGACCGTGCCGGACGAAAACTTCTGTAGCGCCGGTCAGCCCTGTACTAGCGCCTCAATTCTTTCACTATGCGACTCAGAAATGATAAGGGAATGCTATGATATGGTGCACTAACGGGCACACACTGTGTGAAGTGCTGTAGGTGAATTGAAAGCAAATATTTTTGGTAAAAAACTGCGGTTGCAACATGATTACAAATAGTTTGCTCACCGCCAAACCAAAATAGATACGGCTTTTTATGACGTGGCATTAGAAGCAGCAGGTTTCGGGGATCATTTTCATGTATAATTTTTGCAGTTTGTATGACATGAACGCACGCTAGCGGCACTTGAATTTCAAGTACCTGACAGTCATTTTACGACATCGAAAATGTCTCGACTTCTGACAATCATACACGAGGCCGGTTTTGACAAAAACATTAAAATCATACTTTTTCAGACACCCCAAACATTTGCCTGACTGACCATATTACGATTTATTCGATTAAGTGATGTTGAATTTTGGGCCTTTTTCGTATTTATGGCCACTCGTGAACCCCATTTGCATCACTGTGGAATGTGAGGAGGGTGCCGACAGGCCAGGAGAGCGCTGAAAGGCGAGAAGGGCGCCGACAGATCAGAAGGGCGCCGAGCAGACAGATGGGCGCTGAAGGTGAGCCGAGGGCCGATGGTCATGAGCCGATGGTCAGGAGATTGGGAGTGGATATCCGGCATTTCAGGATTGTGGGTGCATCTTCACCCACAAAGAGATATAAAATTGTAAATCTGGGCGCCAGTACCTTGTTGTTTATTGGGGCTTAAGGGCGCGCCGACTACAAGGTCATTTTGCGCCCACGGGGCGCCAGTACCGCATGAGGACGTCGCAATGGCGGCCTACCGTCGAGGGCGACTAGAGTGCTGGACACTGAAAATGCGCCATCGGCGCACAGAATGATCGTGGAAGGCGCCATCCACGGCGCCGTCGGCGCCCTGGATGGCGTCTTTCCAGAGGGCGCCTGCTAGATTTGGGAGGGGCTAAAGCACGGTGTGCCCCTCCCCCCTTGGCTGCGCCCCTGAGTCCTTTGTCTAGCGATTTTCGAAACATGTATCGCGTCCGTAGGGGACTTGGGAGCTGCCGGTGACCACAGGGGCCTTATAAGGCCCCTGATGACTCGGGACCCGTAGGCCGTATACGGCCTACGGGTCTCAGTCATGTGGGCCATATCACCACAGGGCACCGCATCTTTTTCGAGATAAATGACCGTTCTTAAGCGTGTCGCATTTTCCTGAGCATGATCTGGCGTTTACATAATGTTAAGCGCCTGACGGCCCCTCTCCTGTCCGGCTGACAGCTTACTGACAAGCCACCTGGCGATCTCCAACTCAACCCTAATTACGACGTTGTCCGATAGGTGGCGGGGTCATACAATCTCAGTCAGGGCAAAGGATTCTCATAATTATTTTGCTTTCATATTTTCCCCCTTTTTAAAGTCATTTAAAAGCGCTATTGCACAAGTAATTTTTCGATTAGCAGCGATTGCAGCCGCCGCATCAGGGTCCGGATGGAGCCAGGGAGCGTATGCCCCGGTGACGTCACCGTAGTGTTGCAGATTTGTAACATTAGCGAGCCCGGACGATCTTACCTAACTTATACGGCCTTGATCAGTCGGTCGGAACTCACTGCGTAGTAGAGGCGCCATGCTCCACTCCTTCGATTGGGTCTATCACTAAACAAAGTAGATGCCTTGTGTGGCAACAAAATGCAAAAGTTTGTTCTTGGGGCAAATATAAACTTTTGAGTTTTGTTGCCAAATTGGATGGAAAATGAGGACGATGGTAATGCCAATCCAAGGTGCAAAGTCTCACGCGTCTTGCTGTTACGATTTCCGAGCGACCGATAGCGTAGTACCTATCCGCGTTATTCTCGGTTTTGTCGAAAAAGAATACCTACCACGCAGTTTGCAAAGGGCTGTACAGACACAGAGACGGTACCGGCCGCTGGAGGTACAGACACAGAGACGGCACCGGCCGCTGGAGGTACAGAGACAGTACCGGCCGCTGGAGGTACAGAGACGGTACCGGCCGCTGGAGGTACAAAGACGGTACCGGCCGCTGGAGGTACAGAGACGGTACCGGCCGCTGGAGGTGCAGAGACACATAGAGACGGTACCGGCCGCTGAAGGTACAGACACATAGAGACGGTACCGGCCGCTGAAGGTACAGACACATAGAGACGGTACCGGCCGCTGGAGGTACAGAGACGGTACCGGCCGCTGGAGGTACAGAGACACAGGCGGTACCGGCCGCTGGAGGTACAGAGACGGTACCGGCCGCTGGAGGTACAGAGACGGTACCGGCCGCTGGAGGTACAAAGACGGTACCGGCCGCTGGAGGTACAGAGACGGTACCGGCCGCTGGAGGTGCAGAGACACATAGAGACGGTACCGGCCGCTGAAGGTACAGACACATAGAGACGGTACCGGCCGCTGAAGGTACAGACACATAGAGACGGTACCGGCCGCTGGAGGTACAGAGACGGTACCGGCCGCTGGAGGTACAGACACATAGAGACGGTACCGGCCGCTGAAGGTACAGACACATAGAGACGGTACCGGCCGCTGGAGGTACAGAGACGGTATCGGCCGCTGAAGGTACAGACACATAGAGACGGTACTGGCCGCTGGAGGTACAGAGACGGTACCGGCCGCTGGAGAGACACAGGCGGTACCGGCCGCTGGAGGTACAGACACAGAGACGGCACCGGCCGCTGGAGGTACAGAGACACAGGCGGTACCGGCCGCTGGAGGTACAGAGACAGTACCGGCCGCTGGAGGTACAGAGACACATAGAGACGGTACCGGCCGCTGGAGGTACAGAGACAGTACCGGCCGCTGGAGGTACTGTCTCTGTGGAGGTGCAGAGACACATAGAGACGGTACCGGCCGCTGGAGGTACAGAGACGGTACTGGCCGCTGGAGGTACAGAGACACAGGCGGTACCGGCCGCTGGAGGTAAAGAGACGGTACCGGCCGCTGGAGGTGCAGAGACACATAGAGACGGTACCGGCCGCTGGAGGTACAGACACAGAGACGGCACCGGCCGCTGGAGGTACAGAGACAGTACCGGCCGCTGGAGGTACAGAGACGGTACCGGCAGCTGGAGGTACAGAGACACAGGCGGTACCGGCCGCTGGAGGTACAGAGACGGTACCGGCCGCTGAAGGTACAGAGACATAGAGACGGTACCGGCCGCTGAAGGTACAGACACATAGAGACGGTACTGGCCGCTGGAGGTACAAAGACGGTACCGGCCGCTGGAGGTACAGACACATAGAGACGGTACCGGCCGCTGAAGGTACAGAGACACATAGAGACGGTACCGGCCGCTGGAAGTACAGAGACAGTACCGGCCGCTGGAGGTACAGAGACGGTACCGGCCGCTGGAGGTACAGACAGGGGGACGGTACCGGCCGCTGGAGGTACAGAGGTTGTGGCCGGTCGGCGGACTCACGTGCCGGGGTCGTAGACCTCCGACCAGCCGGCCGGCAGCGGGTACTTCTCCAGCATCCTCAGACGCTTCAGCTCCAGCCGTGGGTCGGGGTCTTGGCCGGCGCCCCAGCGCCTCTGACAAAAGGCGCTGCACTCGTGGTAGACGTTCCACTTGTTGGGACAGCCGAGCGCGCCCTGCCGGGGAGGCCGGCCGCCGGTCAGCTCAGCTCGGGCCTCGCTCGCAGAGTTGGCCTGCGCTACGCTACGTTACGCACTACGTTACGCTACGTTTGCTTTTTTGGCCAAAACTACGATACCGTAAACCAGAGCAACTTTGTACCACTTTTTAGGTTTTTGTTGAATATCTTTTTTAATTGTTGTCCAATCTGGCTAGTTTTTTGCAAGGTGGAAGCTACAACCTTTGTCAACAGTTTGCTCTAGAGTAAAAGATTGCTAGCATCTTGAGTTATTTTATTTTTTTATTGAACAAGTGGTCAAAGTTGTAGAGGGGTTTTACAACTTTGTACCACTGATTATAATCCTATTTTATTCAATGCTAACGAATAAAATGGTATTTTACAGAGCATCTTTGGTCCACATAAGTTCTTTTAAAAAATATCCTGACACACCAGGACTTCAACTGGCTGAAAACAATCACAGAAACACTGGTTTACAATGGGGCAACAGATTCACAGTGAACGGCTGTTCCAGGCTTTGGATGGAGTAAAATCACATGAGCACTCTGGCTTTTAAATGAGCGGCTGAGTAAGAACCACAAAACTCAGCACCTTCAGAAGTCACTTGACAGTTCTCTAACAAATGAAGGTGAATTGTCCACGGGTGCCAACCGGGATGGGAGGCTGGAGCTTGCGGATGACATCGCTGAATGAGTAGGTAAGAATATCATCATGCCTAGGCCACAACTCGGACCTGAAACAGGAAAAATCATATTGGATAGGTATGGAATACAACAGGCTGGGAAATAATCTGGATTTGGAGGGCTAAAAATGAAATATAGACGCAGCAGCATAACCAATCGACTATCAACATCAATAACTTCCAGCATTGACTGTCATAAATGACGAAAAAAGTATGCTATAGTGATGAGAAGCTTCCTAAGAATGATTTCCTGGTGGACCAAAGTTGTAGCATTTTGACGGAAAAAGTGCTTGCAACTTTGACCACCACCCCTAAAAAATGACCATAAAAAGAAAATGGGGGTTTTCTTCCTCTAAGCCTTTGGAGAACTCATGTACTTACTGTCTAGATAGCCAGTGTCGCTCCAGTTCTTACCAGTTCCGCTCCTTACATCATCCTAGCAACTTCTGTTTTTTGCGCCAAAATCAAGGCTTTTATTATAAAAATTCTGCTGCTGTCAAGGTCACATAACAAAAGCAGGTCTGTTCACACATAGTTAGGGCACATATTGGGCTAAATTGCCTGCATGAAAAAATGTCCCAAATATTACGATGGATTTTTTAAAAAATCAGCAAAGTAGGTATCTTTTCCATGGTGGACTAAAGTTGCACCGATGGACCAAAGTTGCTCTGGTTTACGGTACCGAATTACGATATGTTATATATTGCTACGTTACTGAATTACGGTATTTGTTAATTAACGCAGCAAATTATTTTATCGTACTACGTTATGCAATGTGTCATCATCCACTACCCAGTGGAAACGGTTAGTCTCTAGTAAGCCAAATACTGCGCACAATGATCGCCGGCTTTGCAGCATCGTCGGTGCGGCGGTGCCTACGCGCTACTCGCTAGATGCGCTGGACTTCCGACAGGGAATTCCCTGGGACTCCCCAGTGGGAAATCCCCGGTGTCGGTCCGGCCGGAAGAAAGACTCAGTGGTATTCATATAGCAGGCGTCTCACATCCGTGTAAACGGCCGGAGGTCTGGTGACGATATGAGTAAACTGAAAAAATTATGTACATTGTACAAATACAGCTGACCTGTAATTGCTACGGAATCCATTTCGTAGTTCCTACGTTATTCTTTTATTTTCCGTACTACGCTACCGAAACATCCCAATTACGCTACGAAACGGTACTGACAGCTACGGGTTACCGAAAACTTCAAAATAACGTAACGTAGGCCAACTCTGCTCGCTCGGCCCACCAGTCCCGTGGGCGTCACAGAGCACACGGCGCGCCCGCGCCTACTTTGAACAACACTGCCACACGAGCACAAAAAGTACGCGGCTATCAGAGACATAGGGGAGACCCGGGAGGTATGGGCCCCTTGGAGGTATGGGCCATCGCAGTTTTGAAGAAGTGTTGCGTATTTTTACACATTTGACCGCGTAAACTGGTAGCAGCCATTCCGTTACACAACCCACATGATTTCCAAAATCATGTTATGAAGCTGTCAGAGGCGGTTGACAGGTACTACGAATATCCGTCACGTCAAAAAATTGATTTTTTAAAAGAAAAACTCAAAAAATCAAAAAAAAAAATCCGAATTTAGAAAAAACATACCAAAGTTCAGATCGATATCTTTTTTTTTTGCCAAGTTATAGCGAAAAAACTTCAAAAATGATGACGTCAAATTTTTGAACTCAATTTTTAGCGATTCTGGACCACGTAGGGCAAAAGAAAGACCACCATTGAACTCCCCGTGACGAGCTGCATCGAATCGATACCCATTTTATGCAAAAATATCAACTTCGAAATTTGACCTAATTTGACCTGACCTTGACCTGATCTTGACCTGACCTTGACCAAAACGTGACCTAAGCTTGCCCAAAAGACTGCCTGACCCACATAATCGCATTTGTCATGTAAAATGGACCATAAAACATGTATCACACGACACTTTCATATTGTGACCCCCCCCCCCCCCCCCCAGTGACCTGACCTCTGTGACCGGACCTAATATCAGTGACCTCAAATAGCAAAATATGTGTTTGAAGAACATTTCCTCATCGATGATTTTCAATGAAATGCATTTTACTCAATTTTACAACGCATTTCTTGAAATGCCTGTAAACGGTGAAAATTCGACCTTTGACCTGACCTGTGACGTCATCGGTTTGACCTAGGTCAATAAAATTGGGTCACAAGGTAGTTCCCTGATAGGGCTATCCAACACCGTTTGCCGCTTGTCGCTAGGTTGCGTGGTTCTCGAGATCTTAGGGGGGGGGGGCAAATTGCCCCCCCCCCCCAACAGGGCGCGTTGCTCGGTAGAGCCCAACGGGGCGCGGGTTAATTGGGCTTGGTCAATAATTTTATTTAGTTTGTTTGTTTGTTGGGGATTAGGGGCGCGCCGACTGCGAGGTCATTTTGCGCCCATTATAATTATATTTAAAAAAAAAACGTTGCCATAAAAAGATATGCAGTAGTGCGGTTGAATTCGAATTGTTCTGCAACATGGTGCTGAGGCACATCCGAGTTGAGGTTAATCCCATGGCGTCCAACCCACCGCCACAAGGTCTTCATCAGCGGACGAGTCGTAACAAACTGTGCACGAATGGATATAGCAAAAACTTTAGGAACACTCAGCAATTTCCAATGACTCCACCCAAATAATTACTGCTCGAAGGCCCGGCCAGGGGAGGGCAGTGAGAACAGTGTCCCGGGCGGGCAGCTTACCGCCGTGGCGTCGTCGGTCACCAGCTTGCCTCCGTGCTTATTATGGGCATAGTTCAGCTGGAGATCAGTTGCTCCGTGATCATCGTAGTCTTCCGCAATGACTTCCTCCTCATCGGTGTCCCTGACTGCACAGCCGCGGGGCCGGGGGCGCCGGTCAACGTCACAGCCGCGGGGGCGCCGGTCAACGTCACAGCCGCGGGGGCGCCGGTCAGCGTCACAGCCGCGGGGGCGGGGGCGCCGGCCAACGTCACAGCCGCGGGGGCGCCGGCCAACGTCACAGCCGCGGGGCCGGGGGCGCCGGTCAACGTCACAGCCGCGGGGGCGCCGGCCACGCTCTGGCCTCTGATGCATACAGGCATACGTGTATATTATATGTATAGTCGACTACAGAATGATGTTCCACTTCTCAGAAGCTATCAGTTGACCGGAGCGCTAGCCGCTAAGTTGTGCCGTTTATCACGCAATTAAGGGTGTCGATTGTGAGCATTGGGACACAGCTATAATTTGTGAACTCAGCCCGTGTGATGCGGCACAGCCTACCACTCAGGCAAATAATTGCCTGTGAAAAGTGGAACATCATTCTGTAGTCGACTATACACTACAGGGTGTCCCAGAATTACCCGGACATTTATTTTCTGGCTAAAAGTACGATTGCGCTCGATTCTAATGATATACAAGCATCATACTTTTATAAGATATCCCTTAGCTATCGAGCTTGGGGACTGTGTGCTTTTGGTGACCGGTAACGACTCGAATCAAGTATTATCCAGAGTCAAGTAAGAGTAGTCCTTTTCCGTTTTCAGCTTAAGCCACTAATAGGCAACCATGGTGAATCAACTCCCGTTTTCAACTTTGTAAACGGACTTTCGGCATGGTTTTTGCTGGAGAGCTTCAGCAGCTCATCTGCAAGCAGTTAGGATTGAGCAAAGCGCAATTATATCAGCTAACGAAGCCAGAGAGAGCGAGAGATAAACCTGAGTGACAAGCTTGGGCTCTGCCAAAAAGGGCCATGCACCAGTTGTCAAACGGGTGGTTGCTTGTCATGGACAACAAACGTCACTGATCTAGCTAAAAACTAGCTAAACGATAGATCAGGATTATCTAAAGAACATCAGTCTACTTTCCACCACTATCTTCGCAAAATTTTGGAATTTGGGGTCCCTCGCCTGAAAAATATGCGAAAACTACGGAAAAAGCAGCGAAAATCACTACAATTCATCCCAAAAATATAACATATACAACAAAAAATTATATTGAAGCACACTTTGTGGTCTAACGAAGGTATTCTGTCATTTGAACCGCCCGAAAAAGGCGTGTGTGAACGTCAGATGGCTACAACGCCCCAACAGCAGAGACGGCCAGGCACCCGTCGAAAATCAAATTGTGAGACATTTTGAGCCACTGTGCACTCATTCGGCTTGATATGATGGCCCAACGACAGCCGTTAGCACAGAGTAGGTACTACTGCGGTAATATTCTACCAATAAAAAAACTGGATGCCGTAAACCAAATGGCCATGAACGGGTTTGTTTTGGAAACCAAATCTGTTGGAAGCCAAAGGTCCCGCCATGTTCAGACATGGAGCTTCTCCACTTCAGATGTAAAAAAACGCGGCAAAAGTGGTGTAGGCAGCAATTTTTGTTTTGAGGGATAATGCCTTATGACCTGGGAACACTTCGATGTTAAGTTAATCTTATATGATCGTATTATCCTCCGGCAGCAGGTCAAAGAAAACAGGCCTTCACCCAGTTTCGCGAGAGCCGTAAAACAACTGAGACCAGCAATGGCTGGCATTTTCAATCATTGTCGGCTGATCTTGTAACAAGCGTATCTATTGCACGTGCTATTTCACAGCCACCCTAGTTGACTATATAGGACGATAAAAAGAAAAAAAGCGCAATCATGTTTGCCTTATTTTATACGCTAATTAACAATGTCCGGGTAATTCTGGGACACCCTGTACATACGAGTATACCTAGTCCTACATATACAACGCACTTACACATTTAGGGAGGAGCGGGGCAAATTGGGCCGATTTCGGTTGAAAGCGTTATAACTTGACCGCGCTTGACTGAGGCATTAGCCGAACGCCATTACCCCACACGAGGGGCGGGGGGGGGGGGAATGGCGTTCAGCCAGGGGGCCGAAACGCCCCCTGTCCCTCTCCGTAGATATCTCCGAAACTACTGCAGATATCGCCACCAAACTTTTAGGAACCCTAAGGCCATCAATTATACAAGTTGTGGCCATTTTTCCAAAGGCTATGATGGGTTGGCCAAAAATGACGTCAGAATTACGTCACATTTTCGACAACAGGTTTCGTGGGAAGAGCTATCACGCCTACAGCTTTGAAGCTACAGAAAAATGTTCGACAAAAAAGTGTTAAATTACCAAGGGCGTATCCAGGTGGGTGGCAGCACGTAATCGCCTGAGGCGGTGGGGTTGGGGGGGGGGGGGGTAACTTTTTTTTATTCAGGCCTCCCTCCAACGGGCACTTATTTTCCCATTTACAGGAGGGCTCCTCCTCCTCCCGGCCATCTTCCCCACCCCCCAGGCTACGGCTGAAGTGGGAGCCTACCCCACACCTGGTGACACAGCCGGGGACGGCGCCCGCGGAACGGGCGGAACCGGGAATCGAACCCGAACCCGGCACCGCCCGCACCGCGGGTCGACGCCTTAACACGCGCAGTGGAAGGGGGGGGGGGGGCGGATTTAGCTCACCCCTCCTGTTTTTCGCCAATAACTCGCGCCGCAAACACGATATTAATGTGAAATTTAGGCTACCTGTCCAGAATTGAATTGCGGATCTTCTCGTGCAGGAAATAAGAAAATCGGCTCACAACTTTTCTAGTAACAGCGGTGTAAAGTCAAACATCCAGGCTCAAAAGAAACGACATATACCATTCGAAAGCTGACGGTGAGCTGAATCCAAAAATGTAATTTTTATCAAAATCGATCGATGGCCTTTTTTGAAAATTGCGTTTTTGTAAAAACTTAATAATCTTTTATTCAACGGGCTGTCCCGGACATTCTTGAAAACATAAACATGTATTTTTGAGTTCCAGTGAAAGCTGAACGCCAAAAGAACAATATTTAGCGAAGCAATATTTCCAAACATTAATATGCGTCTCCCACAGCCGACAATAAGGCGCAATCACACAGCTCAATGTCACGATGGACCAAAGTCAGCCACACAAAAGCGTGAAATGACCCTTATCGACTCGCAGACCCGGCGCTCTCGGCCCGCCTGACCGGCCACAGAAAGAACGTTCGGCTCTCGTTCTACTAAACAAATGTCACATTTGTCAGTTTAAAGGTAGTGTGCCACCTTTGAAAGATTTCCCATTTTATTTTTCCTAGGATAAGAAGCTTCTGTTTTTACCTAATATCGCAAAAAAAAAATCAAAAATGGGCCTGGAATAGTGCCTTTTTCGCCTAAAAGTTTATCGGTTTTTCGATATGTATAACAACTGTAGTGGGCTGGCCTGCAAACAGGCGTCGGCAACAATCGCGAATGCGGCGCACATGTGACAATAAGCAAAGGTCATTATAGAGTTACGACGTACGGGCAGGGGTGTAACTTTTGCTTTTGAGATGGGGGTGCACTTGGTGATGGGGGCGACCTTCAATGAGGATAGGGGCGCTTCCAAGGTGCATAGATGGTGCATACATTATACATTAGCGTCGCCACGGGGGGGACAAGCGGGGCAGCTTGCCCCCCCCCCCACCCCCGACCGGGCTCCGCCTGAGATCAATGCAGATCCGATGAGATTTCATGGGGTCGGCAAAAAAATGGGGGTAGTTTTCATGAATGGCTGTAAAGTCAAAATCGGTTGGAGTCGCGAGTCCCAACCAGAGTCGGAGTGAGAGCCGCCAACATTTTCAGGACTTTGACTCCAGGCTCGAACGTATCATAACTTTGATTCAATCCATGTCTTGGCTGGTGTTAGCTGAATTTTACACTCGGTTTTCAACACTGTTGTGGAGCTGGGAGCGACCCCCTTACCTCACTCTCGGGAGCAGCGCTCCGTCCACGCGCAGAGACCGGGTCCGTCTAGTACCTACGCTGACACGAAATTTTAGTGTCAAGACCATTAGCGTCGCCACGGGGGGGGGGGGGGGGGGGAAGCGGGGCAGCTTGCCCCCCCCCCCCCAACCTTCAACCGGGCACCCCCTGAGATCGATGCAGATCCGATGAGATTTTGGGGTCGGCAAGAAGTGGGGGTAGTTTTGAAGAATGGCTGTGAAGTCAAAATCAGTTGGAGTCTTGAGTCCCAGCCAGAGTCGGAGTGAGAGTCGCCAAAACATTCAGGACTTCGACTCCAGATTCGAACATATCAAAACTTCGATTCAATCCATGTTTTAGCTGGTGTTAGCTGAATTTTACACTCGGGTTTCACCAGTCTAGCACGCTGACACGAAATTTTAGTGTCAAGACCTAGCTCGAAAAATTCGGGGTTGGGTTGGGGTCGTTTCCGACTCTGGCCAAAGGTCTGTGACATGTTCAAGTGCCGTTAAAGTACCACAGGGCTAACGAGGGCCGTGCGTAGGCTCCTAAAAAGTCCCACTGAACTCTAAGAACTAAGAAGGGATCCCACGCTAGCTTCCGAGGGACCCAAACTGACCTCTGAGGGCCCTCAGGCCGGCACTTATGAACACCACTACGATCTTTCACCGCTGATTCTGAAGGGTCGGGCGCAAATCTTTGAGAGCCACTTTGGCAGTCCTTTTAAGGGCCTCCGCCGGTCTCAACAGCCCCATATTGGCTTCTGAGGGTCCATCGGTGAGCAAGGGGCGGAGGCGGACCCATGGTAGTCTCTGAGGGCCCTTTCGACTTTGATGACCATCCTTACGACAGGCCTATGAAGACCTACACGGGCCTTATCATAGAGGGGCCACGTGTGCCTCTGAGCAGGGCTGCGAGGTCGGGGTCGGAGTCGGTCGGAGTCGACAGCTCTGACCGGAGTCGAAGTCGGTTTTGGAAGCCGGGGTCGGATTCGAGTCGAAGGCACCGATAAATCCATCACGGAAACTGAGCATGCTAGAATATGGATTTTTAGAAGGGTGAACCGATTCCCTGGATCATTTGCAACTCTTTTTTCTGGATAAGGTTTGGGATCATCTG